AACACTATTTCAATATTCCTGTTAAATATTCCTGTTATTCTTTCATTTCTTTGACAAGGGGCGCTTAACCTACAGGAACTGTTCGCACATATTAAAAAAAGGCAGGTGTTTTTATAGAACTTAGCTCGAATCAACAAACGAAATTCAATGAATGAAATCAAAAAGGGGGTGTAGATTATTTGTATATATATTACAAAACTATGACTTCTTGATTGTCCTAATTCATTTATCTTGTGTAAAATAGGGTATTAAGCCTTTGTGATTTAAGGTGATTCAAACAGGAAAGTAATACTTCTAAAATAATGTAAAAATATACTCATACATATTGAAAATATTCACCAACATTTAATATATATTTATATTAAAGAAGATTGAATGAAAAAAAAAACAAAAAGGTTGGATGTCTCTACCGTGAAGTGAGCCCATGTGACTCGTGACATCCCAAAAATAGTAACCACACATCATATAATTTAGGAGTCAACATTCCCAATTAAAGGGAAACAGTTAGAGTATGAACTTGCAATTAAAACGGAATTACAGTCATCCCAAAATTATAAGACAGAGTTTTAAAATTAGACATTTTAGAGTATTTAATCTCCAAAGGTTTAAATATTAAATCCTAAGTAGATGTGCAGCCAGCATCATCTCCTCCAGCTTCTTGCTCCAAGGAAACATCTCGGGGGGTGGGGGGGGGGGGACAACATCTGCTCCATCAAGTGATGATCATCGAAAGAAAACATACAAAAGCAACACACAACAAAGAAGCAAGGGTGAGCTAGATATAAAAAGCATGTTATACATATAGTACAATTAATTGATGTCATCATGCTAAATCACATATAAAAGAACAACTAACAACATACCCTTTAAAAAAATGGCTCAAACAAAATCACACGACTCATCCGGATTGTATAAACTATCGAAAACTATGGTCGTCTTTGCACTGCGTAGTTCAGATGGCACTCCCCAAACACTATGAAGGTAAATCCCCCAATCTGTCTATGTTAACTATAAGATATAGACGAGGGACCTCCCTCTACTCTCACATACCTGCTCTCCTTTATCTGAGTATGAAAGTGCTTCGAGTGTAGATAGGACCTACCAGTTCAAAGCTCCATACAGTTATACCGAACAACATCAAACACCCCACACAACCAATTTCAGTCATCTCAACCCGAGATGTCAAATAATTTCATACTCCAATTAACATCATTATAGTTCACAACAACATTTATTCCAAACCACTCATACCTCATACATATTGTACATGAAAATCTGTTAAGCAAACATATAATCCCTACATTCATATACTTTCACATAAATATCATAGACTATGCATTCCAAACATCCCAAAATACAAGACAATCTGTTAAGCAAACAACATTAATCAATCCAATACAACATACAGACAATAACAGTCACAAGAGAACCACTAAACAAACACAAAACCCCCCGTAACTCATACTTAGGACAAAGAAAATGGCTTTGAAACCATCACCAAACAGTTCGGAAGGGTCAAAACCTCCAAATCGACTTAGAAACGTCCAAAACGGACATCCGGAACCCCAAAACTATCAAAAAACAAAGACAAAACAAGGTTCTGCGAATACCTCGAGCATTGGCGCCAAAGAGTAGGGGCCGCCTGGTGGGGCGCGCGACTTTTTGCTGGATTCCCGCGCCTGGGCGCCACCAGGGGGCGCCGGGCGCGAACCAGAAGTCGTCCAGCCCCATACCAGTTGACAACAATCATTTTGCACCTGTTTGATCAGTTTGATGTGATGACTCTAACAAGTCACAATTGACTTACCTAAGTTATCCCCACAGCCCAAATGTACTCAAAATCCTTACTTCCCAAAATCACTACCTCACTTCCTCTCAAAGTGACCCAAAACTCTACCAGCTTGTTCAAAACAGTGTATACTTTCTTTACTTTCCACTTGATCACCCCTCCAACAGAATACATACATCAACATACCAATCTCAATTATCATCTCAGCCCAACCACATCCACAATCACAAATTTCCAGCATACAATTCATGCAGCAAATATCAAAATACAATTTCAACCCATAGAAAAGGATCTAGCTCCCCTTACCTCGGAGTTGAACTACCAAGCTCACAGGAACGCTCCTTTATAGTGTCTCACACACGAAAATTCCACCACACCCAGTCGGAACGGAGAAAACGTTCGGTAGAAATGAAGCTCCCTACGCCGCGAACGCTTGAGAAGTGCCTATCTCGAATTCTTACAGTTAAAAGAGTTGGAAATCTAGAGAGAAGGCAGAGAGAGCTTTAGGGCACAAGAGTTTAGAGAGAGAAAAGAAATGAGGTTCAAGGAAGAGAATGTGTTCTGAAGAGCCCCTCCTAAGGTCAAGTTGGCCTTAGTCTGATGGGCCTGGCTGCCCCACATAAGGCCCAAAGACCCTTTGTTAAATTTACAGGCCCTCACATGACTCACATGAATTGTTAAAACGATTAAGTTGAATTTGATTTTATTTTTCTGATAAATAGAAAATTTTGTAATTTGATGCAATTCATCAAATATATTATAAAATAACTTTATTTTATATTTAATTAGTTGTTAACTATTTCAGACCTATTTTTAAAGTTCTTTAGAAAAAAAACCTATCTTATTATGTTCAAGAAGTTTTACATTATTCAAACATGAATCCTATGTTTACATATTTATAATATAATATAATATTTAAATTTCACAAGTTTTATTAATGTTCTTTATCATCTTTTACAAATTTATTCACCTTATCTTATGTTCACTTATAATATATTTATATGATTATTGCATTAAACAAAACACAAACAACAACAAAAATATAAAAAAAATCATGCATTTTATAACATTAATAAAGTTTTAATTATATATAAATCATTCAACATTAAACACACATAAATATATAAGATTCTAATTTTGAACATGAATACATATGTTGATATTTTTGTAAAGTTTTACATTTATCATAATTTTTTCTTTGCAATACATGTATTCATCAACAACAACATTTTTCTTATCTCAACATCACAATCTTCCTCCTAAAATATCATCTTTATCACAAAACCACCATGATAGGGTTAGTTTTGTTTCATTCTTTAAGTCACAGTATTATTTCATCGTATTAAATTCGCATACTAAGAACCTCAATTAACTCTTACCACCTAAATTGTTTCTCTATATGTTATTATTGCAATAATTCTAGGTATTTTCTAGTCACACAACACACTTCAATTTCAAAACAACTAACCTATATCTTACTTTTTGAAAATAAAAAAGTTGTATTTATATATTATGCCTTTTGGTGTTCGTTTAGTAATTTTTATTTTAAATTGCCCCCTTTCACCTAATAAAACTATATTCTTCAAATTCTTAAAATTAAAACTAAACTTTTTCTTTTTGAATTAAAATTATTATCACCATAA